ACATTTTATCTAAAATTCGGTGAAGTTTTTCAACTTTACCGATGACAAGGCCATGTGTTTGACCGTCTGTGTTACAGTTTGATGTTATCTCAGATTCTGAATCTCAAAGATGTCCGCTTTTTTGAATTGAATAATACTGAGAATATCAATGAAGGAAGGATTGCAATCTCGGGAAAGCATTTTCATCTGTAGCTATATTTCGAAATCACTGAATCCTTCGTCGTTGAGAGGATGTGTCTTCGGAATTTGAATAAAATTCACCTGTCCATGCCCACAGGAATGAAAGCTGGGGTTATGTGTTTCTGCAACTGCATGCATACCGTGGAAGCTTTCAACCGCATGAGGATAATTTCGAAGAAACCGACACAGTTTTTAAATTCGATGCATGAAGTTCAAGACAATTTTAAATTTTGCTTGCATTTTTTGTGCTAAGACCTTGCTTTCGATTGAAAAACTGATTTGTCGTCAACCTAATACAGTATCAATAGTATAGAAAATTTTTTTTCGTTGATCTGTGTGAACCTGGATTCGCTAATCGGGAGAAGACAATATTATAAAATCCAGTGATTCCTTTGAATACGTTTAATTTCAACTGTCGGTGTTTGTTTCCGTGAGATGAAAAGTTGGTCTTCTATTCTCTGCCGTAAAATGGTCCTGCTAAGATCTTGAATGGAACCTTGCTCTAGGATTCTTGCGACGCCTCCTGTTCTCGGTCTAGTTCGCTCGCGAGATACGTTCGTAAACATTCGGTAGATGTCGCCTCCGATTTCTTTTAACCTCGTTCCCGTATTGCAGTTCAATACAGTATTCAGTTGAACAGTACAGTACAGTATTCTGTAGCCGTCGTTCGTTTTCTTCGCCATAACCCGCCCTTCAGACTTAGAATGGAAACGCTTATTTTGATCAGCCGTCTGCATACTTATCACATAAAAGAACACCTTTAACACCAGTCTTCCGACTTCCTCTAGAGAGTATTTAATGTAATGAAGCAGTCAGCGTTACGGAACAGTAAGACACATCGACGCACTCGAGCCAAAAATACCCTAGAGGACCGATGGGCACTACGCAACGATGGAAGATAAGAATTTTTTCCCCGTCTCCTGAAAAAACCCGTCTTCACAAGACCTATCGCTTGACGTCGATCTATCGCTTTTGAATAATCAACATGGTCCAAGGATTTTTCTCCGCCTTGTTTCTCTGGCTGTTCTTGCCTCCTGCAACATCGTTGTGGCCTCCACACACACACACGATTGAAGTGCTCACAGTGGGACAGAAATAGTGTTCCATTTTTCGTCGAGTCATGCTTGCTTATCGCGAGTTCGAGTTGGTAGATAGCAGATTTCCGCCGATCGCTGAAGTCGGGTGAATGGAAAAACACTGGGAAATTGTCATTGTCATTACTTGACTACAGGTGCAATTTCGCTTTGCGCCGCAATATTGCACTGCGTCCGTGCGATAAGAAATCACTCGCTGTGTAAACCTCGAGTATCGTTTTTATTTGTTATGGATGCCATCGATTCCAAGACGCATTTTGATTGTCCTCTTGCCTGGGATATTATCGAAACAATGAGAAGAGGATAACACCGGTTACTCATTGTTAAATTTGTGTCAAGTAGACTTGATTGAACAATGCTATGGTGAGGTGAACTTTAAAGGAAAATTAAACAACGAATGATGCTGTCTCATCTGAACGCTCTCATCGTATTTTAAAATGTTACTTCAGTACGAATTTATTTACAATCGTTCGATCAGTCATGGATATTAATGCAATGATATATTGTATCAAAAAAAGCAGAAGTCCCAGCAGTGCGATATTTTACGGAATATGGAAGTACCTCATTAATTTGTGTTGGGGGTTTTTTATTTGAATGTTATTGCTTTATTGCAGCAGCAATGACATCATAAATGTTCAGGATCTGCTCTTTCATGTGACCAACTTTTACCTTTGTATGTGGTGGACTGATCTTTTTTTTACATGGAAAACCTCTAGTTCGGTTGGAAAAAAAAACATTTCGCGCGCAAATCCTACACGAATACATGTAAAAGGGGCTGACTATACGACGCCATTGTTATTTTTATAGCTAATTTTCACTTACGTGCGTCGTGTATTTGAATAAAAATGCCGATAGGGGAGTTCGTTCGGAGACGATTTTCCTGAAGGAAGTTTTGAAAACCATTGACCCCAAGTAATTGTTGATGGGTTTTAGTTCATGCGATCTCATTCTGCGACACATTCAAGAATAATACCCTAAGAGAACAGGTAATTTTTGACCTAGGCCAAGTAGACTCGGTCTAACACTTCCTTTTTACTCTAAGTTTTACAAAGATGCGCGAAGCCCTAATTTAATTTTTATGGAAGACAGCAGTGAAAAGTAATTCGATTAATTTCTCCCAGTTGCGGAGCTTACATTTAACATGACTCAACATGACACAAGTGAATGATGTTCTTGATAATCGGACATTGTTTCTTCTTCTTTTTTTCTCCCATGTTCCGCAAATAATTCTAGCTGGCTTTAATGCTTGTTTTGTTACGTTGGAAAAATAATTAGTCGGTTATAAATTAATATGGTTCTGTGAGATAAATTAATCAAAAGTCGGCATGTAAATGGATTTGGTTATGCTTTGTTTGAAGCATTCCATCAACTTTCAACTCAGACGTCTTCGAATGTGATGTAATGCCCTCGCGTTATCCTGCGTGCATTTGGGATATATCGTGTTTCCTCTCATTGACATATGATATTCTGACAGGATCTCGTATTACAAAATGGGATTCTCTTGTCCATTAAAAACTGGATCCGGTTCATCTGAGCCAGATTGTGAAGGAAAAATGAGATTCAAAATGTTTCTACGCGCTTCGGGATTAAATTAAAAATACCTTCTGTCGTCACTTTTTGTGATTCAATTAATTTCTCCCAGTTGCAGAGCTTATATTTAAATCAACATGACACAAGTGAAAGAAGTTGATGAGCGGACATGGTTTCTTCTTTAATTTTTCTCCCACGTTCCGCAAATAATTCTAGCTGGTTTTAATGCTTGTTTTGTTTCGTTGGGGAAAATAATTAGTCGGTTATAAATTCATATTGTTCTGTGAAAAAGAGTTTATCAAAAGTTGGCATGTAAATGGATTTGGTGATGCTTTGTTTGAAGCATTACATCAACTTTCAACTCAGACGTCTTCGAATGTGATGTAATGCCCTCGCGTTATCCTGCGTGCATTTGGGATATATCGTGTTTCCTCTCATTGACATATGATATTCTGACAGGATCTCGTATTACAAATGTTCGTTTGAAAGGCAGTCGCCTGTATTGTTGATATTTACGATTTTTGGTTTTGCGCACGGGTTGTTTGACTTCCGAGTCAGCGTGCATGTCAGGTACAGTATTCGCACTATTTCGGCAGCTCAGCACACTAGGGAAAAAGTTGATGGTTCAATGCATGTGTATCCAATTTCAAGTTACAGTAGAATCTCGTTACAACGAAGCATTCGGGACCTTTAAAAAAGCTTGGTTGTTGGAGCGAATTCGTTAACACGAAATTGAAGTAACATTGTTGCTATTAGACAAGGACCAAAACCAGCAAATTCGTTTTAAGCATTAAATCGTTATACCGAGATTCGTTGTAAGAGATCTTACCGTAAATGGTGTCCGTATGTTAGAAATTCAGTATACTGTATATCCAAGCCTTCCACACGGGTTAAAGTTTGAGCAGACGTGTAATGCCATTCCTGTGTTTCTTGAGGGTCATTGACTTTGTTTTCGAACCCTTTGCCTCAACAACGCTGTAATAAAAGGTAACAGCAAAATTCGATCAGAAACGTGCTCATTTTCGAGTGTACTGCGTGATGCTGGCTTTATGATATATCGACTCCATTGATCCCCAGAAAATGTCGAAAAATTCTTGTTAAAAGACACCTTTAGTTTCAGACCAGGCCTGAAATGAATAAGACATGGAACGTTGGCCATATCCTACAAGTTGTAAACTACAGTATTATCAATAAAGATCATCGCTTTCAAGATTTATTCCACTTTATTTCAAAATCCTGCTCTTTCTGAAATAGTTGAACGCTGATTCAGTTTTCTCTTCTTCAGATCCCTTTCTCATTGTACAGTATTGATTTTCTCGTCTGTAATTTCAATTGGTTTCCAGCGGTTAGAAATAGTTTTTTGGGTCGTCTTTCCGAAACCTGGAGAGCTGATGTTAGCTAAGAATGGTCAGCTTGAAACTGCAAGTTTTGATGGCGCTTCGGTGCTCAATTCATTAATAAATTTAGTTGAGGAGATAATCTACCATTTTTCGATCAAGTTTAACTGCCATTGTTCTAAAAACTTGAATTACGCAATCCCTACGATTAGCTATTGATAACCTAGTGCGTTATCAATTTGGCAATTTACAAAAATTCCTGCAATAAAACAGAGCATTGAACCGTTTCTGTGTTCTGTTTCTTGCCACCTTCTGGGCATCACTTACCATCAATAGCTGTAGCTCAAATCTTCGTTGACTTTGGTTCATTTTAAACGCATTTTACTATTGTCTCAATTTCATGTACACCCCCGAGTAAAATTTTCATAGAAATTGAGTTATATGTTCCCTCAGCCCAAGCTTCTCCTTTTGTTGAACTTTCTTCCCCACGTTTGTCCGCAACTCAGATTTTCATTAACTTCTCTACAGTTTTCTCAGTTCAATTTATGCGCTACTTCATCACACAAAAAGTCTATCTTACTATACCTGCCATTTGGACTGCTTACCACCAGTCGCACGCGTGCCATTGTTTGAGACGCAGAGACTTGAGAGGGACCAATCTCTTGAGCTGACCTGCCTCGAACCTCGGGCGATTTCTCAAACCCCCCGGGGCTTCGGTGTAATTTGAAGGTTTCAGAAATGCTCTGTATTTTGAGAACGTTTAGGCGTTCACCTTTTTTTTTTAATTGTTTATTATCTTTTTTAGCGTTTCTCGCGGCGGTGGATTGCGCGACCACGTTGCCGCGCGTCGGGTGCGCGCATGGCCAAATTCAACGTCGCCGTATTTGTGGTCTTGTCATCACGTCGCCGCGCGTGGCTCCCGCAGTTCTCGACAGGGCCGTGTCCTGTGCGCGTTTCAACAGGCGTGGCTCCGTTGCGGTTTTGCAGTTGGAAGCCGACTCTGTTTAGCTCGTTACAACGCATCTCTTTGTTATGAATTAATACTTGCAACGAATTTATTAGATTTTTATTTTATTTATTTGATTCTTCCTATCCAATAGCCACAAATGAGAAATTATATTCAATTTCGATTTAACTAATTTTTTCGTTTGTACTGAAGCGTGTCTTTTTTTTCAAGGTCCCAAAAGCTTCGTTGTAACGATATTCTTCTAAATTATTGTCCGAGGATTCTATAACAAGTCATCTCATTTTACTCGAGTGTATGACTCATTTTGTTGTTGTTGTTAAAAGTGCTTTTGGAAATTGAATTGATTTTGCTGGTGAATGTAAGGCGCAGTTTCGTGAGGATCGAGTGTGTGTCTGTTGTTTCTAATACTGATTCGGTGACAAGTTTAAAATACGCATAGACACAAAGATTAAATGCGCGTCCTCTTGAAGTTGATTAGGATTTGTTTGAAGGGGTTTGAGGTCGATTTTTTGCGAAGTTTTGTGTTTCCCAGGAGCAATTTTGCACTTGAAAATGCCGAATATGAGACGCTATATATTAGGCTGCCTTTGATTGTTTCGGTTTACTTTCAAGAATAAATGCACGTACTGTATTATATTTGGATGTTTATGATGGGTCATATTCGGCATCCGAGCAGCTCAGGGCATCTTCAAAAGTCTGCGTACAATATTTCCCCTCGTCTATGCTTGAAGCAGTATATTTTTTGCATTTACGCGTTGGAGAACTTCCCGCGTAGGTACACTAGTACTTTATTGTATAAAATGAGTGCGTCTGTGTCCAGTGTACAGTACTGTTCGTGAGTTTGCCATTAGTGTGGTTGCGAGCTGGACGAAACGCGTCTACGTAGCGCTAAACAAGTCTCGTTTTTTATTTTATTTTTTATCTTTTTGCTTATGCGCAATTCAAATGCGCAAGCATGAAACGTTTGGCGTGTTTTTGTACATAGTTTGTTGGTGTGATTGCTTGTGAGATGTCTCTTGAAGAAGTAATATGCAGTACTTCATCGCATAAGTTGTATGATATTTGTCCGTGGACTGTGATATGATAATCGAAGCACAACTGATCCAACGCGGTCGAAAATCTCCGGTTTTCTGCGTGACCCGGATACTTGAAAATTTCCTAGAATTTTTTCAACGTCTTCAAGCATTAAAGAATAAATCGCCAAATGGGTCGATTCTCTCATCAAGAGAGTTTCAAGAGCGCCGAAAGAGAGAATATGTCTGAAAACGAGTGAAAATTAATAAAATTGTAGAGTTTCAGACAATTTTTTACATTTTTTTGCCTGCACTGCTCGAATATCAGAACCCCTCGTGTTGAATTAATTTTCTCAATTCGTTCGGAATTGTCAGACATTTTGAAATCCCCAGACCCACAGCAGAAAGAAATTGGAATCCACATTTTATTCGCTTTGTTGAAGTTTATATTTCAATTTCTGAATCCCAAAAATGCATCAGATCATTCATTCAGTTCATTCATTGCTGTGTTATTATGTAAGAGTACAGTACAGTACTTGACTATAGTTCGATACTTTCCCTTCAGATTTTGCCTTCGGGGTTTTTCCGTTTCGTCCACCTGATGGTCATGCGTCTTCCGTGTTTACGTGACCTATGGCAAATTTTGTCCCTGAAGTATTCTTCCTTCAACATCCAAGTGTTGCAAATGGGGTTCTGTAAAGTTACTGCCATTACTTATGAAAATATATTCCAGATTTTGTGCACTTGAAAGGCTGCTGTGACGGTGAAGTGGTTTTTAATTACAGTATTTCTTTTCGTGGCAGCTCGTGTGATAGTTCAACGCGTGGACTGAAAGATCGATTCACTTGCACAGCTGTGTTTGTGGCCTTGGAAAAGTCCATCGCCCGTGACGTTCAGTCTTGCGGAACCCCGAAATCCCAGTGCCACAGCTTCTAGTCTCTCCAGTTCACACGTTTGCTTTCCGTCGGTGGGTTGGGTTGTGAACGAATAGAGAAGCAATAAAAGAAGGGAAAAAACAGTATCACAACGTCGGGAAGCCGTGGGGTTGCGCAAGCTTGTTTTCTTTCTTTACTCTTAAGTTTCTTGATTCATTACCGTGGCTGTTCTCGCTGAATGAGTGTTGAGCTGCCGCATGCAGCTTCGTATTGTGGCAACCCATTGCTTTGATCGACGACTGTGTGATGTCGAAAAGTACGCAACAACACAATGCTCATCTCTCGCTGCGGCATCTGCTGCACTTTGAGTTTCATGGGCATAAGCCGACGAGAAGTCGGAAGCTGTCTCTGCCTCCGATTTTCTTCAGCAACAGTAAGCATTTTATGATCACTAGTTTTATATAATTTTTGAATTCGTTACACAATCAGACCTTGCAACTTAATTGTATTTGCTGTGCGGGAGGCACCAGTTTCGATGTGTTAATTTATGAACGTCGGGCAGGTGTCGCATCAATCTCGATCTTACCCGAAGGCCGAGACTTGAGCCCCTTCTAAGTTGAAAACTGACGGTAGCTGAAAGTTGAGAACTGTTCATTTCCCCTGAAATGACGCGAATATTCAACGTGGACGAATGGTTTATTAATTTGAGTGCGATTCTTTCGCGTTGAAGTAGAAAGGAGAACCATACTGTACCTCGTGAATTAGTTATGTGTTGAGTGCTGCGGGATGATCAGTAAAGAGCATAATTGTCGCAATTCAATGCCTATGAGAAGAAGGACGTGGATTTGGCCTTTATTCTTGCTCGGAGTAGGAAAAGTACTGTATCTTCAATCTTCAAGTCCCGTGTCAAAGGGTTGATGAGCCCTTCTTCTTCTTGGGGTTGGGTGTACAGGTGTTACCTCGCAATTCGACGGTCGAATTTGCTGGGAGGTCGACTCTCAATCCGACCTCTGCCGCGCTTCTCGACCTGCGGAGAGACATGAAACATCGAATTTTATGTAGAAAACATGCTTTTTGACGTTGTCTCGCAATTCGGCTGTCTGCTTTGCAATCTGACCCTAGCCCAGCTACGGATTAGGGTCGAATTGCAACGTACCACCTGTATGTTTAGGGTGGGGGGTCGTTTTTTATAGGTAATAATCAAATACTTTTTTTGAGCAATGGTGCAGAATAATAATGCAAATCAAAACTTGCGGTGTGATAGGGAAAAATAATGTAGTGGAATTCGTTTCGATGATTCTGACGAAACCGTTGATAAATCAGATCACGTTTTGCGTATATGCACTTGTTTGACGACAAACTAGGGAATGTTGTTATCATCTCTTCTTGAGTCGTAGATTTCTGATGAACGACAACCTTGTGTATTGGAAGGGAAAATAAACTTCTTGAATATCACTTCCAATGGAATCTCAAGATACGTGACTTACACCGAGTGATTCGAATGAGAACGTCATTTGGAATGGCAGCTGAACACGAATCATATCTCGTCCGCTTTTCTGGCGCAATGCAAAACGCATTTTTTCGTTGATGGGTTTCGGGAATGTGTCTAAATATCAGATTTATATTTCTTTTGTGGGGGGTACGATCGATTCGATTTAAAATTGAAATTCAACAACGTTTTGATCGTTCAATTAAATACTGTACCTCCAGTGCCCTCTGTCGATAATTTCGCTTGGTTTTCAAAATAATTTGGTACCTGATGCACAATATTTATTCCTGGCGCTACAAATTTCGAAAACTCTGTGGCATTTTCGAGTCTTTGAGATAAATTTCGCTTGATCGCGTTTCAACGCTCGATCGAGAAGTGCATGATTTACATCCCCCCCCTTTTTTTTTACAGATATTGTTGATCCTCCACTTTTTTCGAGGGTGTGGAAAAATGCTTTTTTTGTTCAGTTTCGTGGATTTTACATTTTTTAAGATGGGACAGTTTATCGTAGAATGGCCGAGAAACATCAATTGGATGTCTGAATTATTTGACATTGTTCCAAGATTTTTTTTTTCAATTACTTATTGTCCGGAGGATTTCTCGGAGAAATCATATTCTCCTTCCATATGAGTTTCAAACTCCAAAGGCACTCAGCATATTGAATATAAGGTTATCCGTGAGTTTCCGGGTGTACTTTTCGAACCCACGGCTATAGGTGCTTATGTACCTCAATTCCGTGATGTTGACTATGGAGGTCAAGAAGAGGCTTTCGGAAGTCGTCCTTGATCTTGAGTAATGCTTTTATATTTGTTATAATATAAAAATGACGGCAGTCGTTTCCGAAGATGTCGAGTCCACTCGCTCTCACAGTCGTCGGAGTCTGGTTGGAATCCTTATCGTGTTGGGGATTATGCAAAACAAGGGGCGCGTCATTGTTACGGACCTTCTTATCTCTGGCTTTGCGCTTTTACCCGAGAACGGATACGAAGATTTATGAAATAAGGTGGCTGACGTTGATCTTTTATTTGTTTGTTTCTATGTATTTTCTCAGGCGCCAGGAGACACTCTGCTTTCCCGTCGTCCGAACGCCGAGGCTCCTTGGGATCGTCGGATGACCGCCACACTGCAATCCTGTTTCGTGATGCCCGCGGCGTGAGTACATTTACGCATGCATATTTATTTCCTGTCCGAATCACTTATTTGATGGCTTTCTTGGATCATTCGCAAGTTTATGGCTTTTTTTTTGTTGGTCTCTGTACGAAAATAGATCTGCTTTTATATGCGAGCGAGGGTAATCTTGAAAGTTCCCCGCTCTTGCTCAAAGACTCGCGAACCACCGAATTCAGTCGATTGCGAAATACCTTCGATTGTAAGGCGGGATTATACTTTTTTTTGAGGGCCTGGAAATTGTGATTTTGCGAATTTCAGAAAGCGCGTTCAGTTTCTTGAGAATAGGATGAGTTTGTGTTTATGTTCAAGATTCATTTACTTGCTTGAAAACTTCGGGATCATTATTTAATTTGTATCATTGAAGGAAAAGATCGACCAAAAACGTTCTTCCATTGAATGTTGAACCTAATTTTGTATTTGTAAGATTATTTTGGCAGGAAAAAAAAACGATTCACGCTACCGGAGAATGTGAAAGGTCTTCGAATATTATATATACGCTTCGTGATTTTTGTGAGTCAATTTTTCGTTATGGCGGAGTGCGCCGAATATTCCAATGAATATGGTAATCTGAAAGAAAGCAACCCCAAAATACTGAACTGTACTGTTCTTGATTCATCTCCCTGAAAGCTGAAAATGTAGCAGTTTTAGATGAGTGTTACACCTAGATGTGTTGCATAAGAAATTTCCATTTCCTCCATGCGTTCCGGTCATTTGTGTACAGGTATTTCTAAAATGTTCTTCGGCTTTCCCACGAATCCGCGATTTTTGTGCATATTCCGAACATTTTTCCTTCCTACAGTTTCTTCTACTACAGTACAGGAAATATTAGACATGATTTTTTTTATCTCTTGGTAAAATAGTTGAATGCTTGAAAACTTTTTCTGATAGCGTAAAGCGGGCTGGCTGCCGGATGTAACGCCTCTTTGTGAATTCTGAGGAAGAACGTTTTTGGATGTGAAGAATAATTCGATATTTTGCATCGCTATGCGCAAATGCGTTTATAAAAATCATTCTACCGTAGTGAAATTTTTTTTGAAGTCATGGTGTGATTCTGCAGCTGGAAGCTAGAAAAGAAAGACAAGTTCTTCAGAGCATGTGACACCATACTTTAATTCTGTCTTTGTCGCATGTATTTTACTGTACCTGCAATGCTTTTTCTAATCATATTTGTTTGGTTTTGTAGTGTATATTCACTTTTAGGTTAATTTTAAGGCTTCTGTCGACCAGTTCGAAAACTTTCGAAAATCCCCTCGCGACGTACGTTTCTCCAGATTTTTACTGCGTAGTTGGAAGAAACTTATGTACCTTGTATTGGCCCCGAAGGTCTCGTAAAAAGAGCTAGAGCTCTATGTACAGTACTGATATTGGATTATTGTCCACGGCCTTTCTCATTCCCCGCGCCTTTATTATTTCTCGCTTCGTTGGGAGCAATAATGGGTTGTTTCAATAGTAATACAGTATTACGCAAAGGGAAAGGGGGGGGGGGGAATCGAGTATCCGTGCACGTGTTGCTTGATGGCTGATTCGGATCTGTGGGAGCCGTTTCGTTGGGAATGCAATCGAATTTTATGAGATCGTTAAAACATGCTCATGGAAGTCATATTCTCCTAAGGGTTTTCGATAATCCGGAAGTCATCGTACTTTCTATACTGTATTTCGTAGTTTTGAGCGCAGCAGGGGAATGTTAATTATTTTCGAGCATGATTTCGCGTGCTTTCCATTTCGGGTCTGTGAATTACATCACTGGGGACGGACGATTCCTTGGGAATAATTATGTGAGAATTCGTTTCACTCTTGCTGTTTTACTTACGATCAGTTTCTAAATTGCAAATTTCACACAGTGATAAATCGGTACTGAGATGTCTACGAAATCGTGCTTTATTTTCAATGCATTTGTATTTTATATTCTAGTTATCTAGTACATCACTTCATCTGAAAGCAATATGGTCATTCGGAAAAGATACAGTATCTCCGAAAAAGTTGCGGAATTTTGTTTCGAGTCTCATTCCAACTAACGTACAGATCATAATCAAGTACAGATCATAATCAAGTACAGATCATAATCAAGTACAGATCATAATCAAGTACAGATCATAATCATAAGTGTGTAGATGCATGTATCGAAAAAATGAAACTTTCAATGCCGGAAAGCTGAATTTAGACTCAATTTTTAACTTGAAGAAACTTTTGAATGTTTGTGACATCGTTTTTCTATTCAGTTTTTCCCCAGGTCATTGGAAATCCTTGATACCGATGCATTTTCGAAATTCAGGGCGAATAAGGTTTTCTTCGAAGTTCTTGAATCATTTTTACAGAAGGAAGTCGAAAACTTCGTGGATCGCATCAATACTATCCGATCAGTGTGTTGCGTTCGACAATCCCACGTAAAGAATGTCAGTGGCTCTTGGCTTTTAATAATTTTTGAAATAAGGGTAATTCAAAATTTGTTTTCTTATGTTGTAGATCTAGACTTTCTAGGGCGTGTTTTGCTTGAAAAAGAAAGAAATTGCCAGAAAGGTGGCATGCTCGCTCCGGCATCTTCGGCTTTTCGTAGCTAGAAAATCTCTCCTCCAAATTCGATTTGGAAAGTCTAGATTTCCATCGGGATCAGTCGCCTGGAATGCTTTTCTAGCTTCTGAAATTCCCCTCAGGGTTTCGAATGTGCTTTTATCCGAGTGTGAACGCACTCGACGGAAATGATGTTGATCGTGGTCTGGATAATTCAACGGGGTAACGTGGCATGCATAAGCCGGCTGTCGGGTCTTTCATTGGGTCCCTGGCTGCCTTATACCCTACACTAGGTACAGTACAGTATATAGATCTCGTGAAATGGCTTCAAGAGGATTCATGCGGTAAATGAGTTTGCCTTCAGCGCTTTATATAGTGCGAGTACATTATTTGCCAAAAGAAGCCCCCTGGAGTCATCCAACTTCGTTTCATTTCCTGGAATCGTGGAGAAGAGCCGGGCTCCTGTGTTTGTCATGGAATACAGTTCTGTATTTGTGCTCATCACATCTTCTATTTTGATTTTGTGGAAGCTCTTGTCAACGCTTGGTGGTATGAGTTTGTGTGGCAGGAAATGTGGACGATTTTTTGATATTTTCTCAGGCGCCAGGAGACACTCTGCTTTCCCGTCGTCCGAACGCCGAGGCTCCTTGGGATCGTCGGATGACCGCCACACTGCAATCCTGTTTCGTGATGCCCGCGGCGTGAGTACATTTACGAATGCATATTTATTTCCTGTCCGAATCACTTATTTGATGGCTTTCTTGGATCATTCGCAAGTTTATGGCTTTTTTTTGTTGGTCTCCGTACGAAAATAGATCTGCTTTTATATGCGAGCGAGGGTAATCTTGAAAGTTCCCCGCTCTTGCTCAAAGACTCGCGAACCACCGAATTCAGTCGATTGCGAAACACCTTCGATTGTAAGGCGGGATAACACTTTTTCTTTGTGGGCCTGGAAATTTTGATATTGTGAATTTCAGATAGTGCGTTCAGTTTCTTGAAAATAGGATGAGTTCGTGTTTCTGTTCATGGTTCATTTACTTGCTTGAAAACTTTGGGATCATTATTTAATTTGTATCATTGAAGGAAAAGATCGACCAAAAACGTTCTTCCATTGAGTGTTGAACCTAATTTTGTATTCGTAAGATTATTTTGGCAGGAAAAAAACGATTCACGCTACCGGAGAATGTGAAAGGTCTTCGAATATTATATATACGCTTCGTGATTTTTGTGAGTCAATTTTTCGTTATGGCGGAGTGCGCCGAATATTCCAATGAATATGGTAATCTGAAAGAAAGCAACCCCAAAATACTGAACTGTACTGTTCTTGATTCATCTCCCTGAAAGCTGAAAATGTAGCAGTTTTAGATGAGTGTTACACGGAGTGCGCCGAATATTCCAATGAATATGGTAATCTGAAAGAAAGCAACCCCAAAATACTGAACTGTACTGTTCTTGATTCATCTCCCTGAAAGCTGAAAATGTAGCAGTTTTAGATGAGTGTTACGCCTAGATGTGTTGCCTAAGAAGCTTCCGAATCGGTTGGTCAACATTTCCTCCATGTGTTCCGGTCATTTGTGTACAGGTAGTTCTAAAATTTTCTTCGGCTTTCCCACGAATCCGCGATTTTTTGCATATTCCGAACATTTTTCCTTCCTACTGTTTCTTCTACTACAGTACAGGAAATATTAGACATGATTTTTTTTATCTCTTGGTAAAATAGTCGGATGCTTGAAAACAAACTATGAACTATGAATACTATGCTTGAAAACGTAAAGCGGGCTGGCTGCCGGATTTAATACCTTTTTGTGAATTCTAAGGAAGAACGTTTTTGGATGTGAAGAATAATTGGATATTTTGCATCGCTATGCGCAAATGCGTTTAAAAAATCATTCTGCCGAAGTGGAATTTTTTTGAAGTCATGGTGTGATTCTGCAGCTGGAAGCTAGAAAAGAAAGACAAGTTCTTCAGAGCATGAGACGCCATACTTTAATTCTGTCTTTGTCGCATGTATTTTACTGTACCTGCAATACTTTTTCTAATCATATTCGTTTGTTTTTGTTGTGTATATGCACTTTTAGGTTAATTCTAAGGCTTCAATCGACCAGTTCGAAAACTTTCGAAAATCCCCTCGCGACTTACGTTTCTCCAGATTTTTACTGCGTAGTTGGAAGAAATAGATGTACCTTGTATCGGCCCCGAAGGTCTCGTAAAAAGAGCTAGAGCTCTATGTACAGTACTGATATTGGATTATTGTCCACGGCCTTTCTCATTCCCCGCGCCTTTATTATTTCTCGCTTCGTTGGGAGCAATAATGGGTTGTTTCGATAGTAATACAGTATTACGCAAAGCGAAGGGGGGGAATCGAGTATCCGTGCACGTGTTGCTTGATGGCTGATTCGGTTCTGTGGGAGCCGTTTCGTTGGGAATGCAATCGAATTTTATGAGATCGTTAAAACATGCTCATGGAAGTCATATTCTCCTAAGGGTTTTCGATAATCCGGAAGCCATCGTACTTTCTATACTGTATTTCGTAGTTGTGAGCGCAGCTGGGGAATGTGAATTATCTTCGAGTTCGGGTCTGTGAATTACATCACTGGGGACGATTCCTTGGGAATAATTATGTGAGAATTCGTTTCACTCGTGCTGTTTTACTTTCACGAATAAATACCGAACAGTTTCTAAATGTCATATTCACACAGAAACGCTTGAATGAGTAATAAATCGGCATTGAGATGTCTACAAAAGCATGTTTCATTTTTCGAATTTTACGTTCTAGTTATCTAGTACATCACTTTATATGAAACCATTCGGAAACTATCCAGTATATCCGAAAAATTTGCGGAATTTTGTTTCGAGTCTCATTCCAACTAACATACAGATGCATGTATTGAAAAAATGAAACTTTCAATGCCGGAAGGCTGAATTTTTTACTCAATTTCAGCTTGAAGAACTTCTAAATATTTATGTGCAATCGGTTTTCTATTTAGTTTTTTTCAGGTCATTTGAAATCCTTCATACCGATGCATTTTCGAAATTCAGGGCGAATATTTAGGTTTTCTTCGAAGTTCTTGAATCATTTTTTACAGAAGGAAGTAGAAATCTTCCGTGGATCGCATTAATACTATCCGATCAGTGTGGTGCGTTCGATAATCCCACGTAAAGAATGTCAGTGGCTCTTGGCTTTTAATAATTTTTGAAATACGGGTAATTCAAAAGTTGTTTTCTTATGTTTTAGATCTAGACTTTTTTAGAGCGTGTTTTGCTTGAAAAAAGAAATTGCCAGAAAGGTGGCATGCTCGCTCCGGCATCTTCGGCTTTTCCTAGCTAGAAAATCTCTCCTCCAAATTCGATTTGGAAAGTCTAGATTTCCATCGGGATCAGTCGCCTGGAATGCTTTTCTAGCTTCTGAAATTCCCCTCAGGGTTTCGAATGTGCTTTTATCCGAGTGACCTGTGTTTGTCATGGAATACAGTTCTGTATTTGTGCTCATCACATCTTCTATTTTGATTTTGTGGAAGCTCTTGTCAACGCTTGGTGGTATGAGTTTGTGTGGCAGGAAATGTGGACGATTTTTTGTATTATTTCAAGCTTAGAGTGGAAAACGGTCGTCAGTAAAGTGACCAAATATACAAACTCAATCAGATCGGATTTTGTATGAGGTTTTCCTTCTCTGTGAGTTGAGAAGGTGATGTGGGGTAAGTTAAGCACTTTTTAATTTGCTTGGATTAGTTATCTGTACTCAGTCGCTGGGGTGGCTGGAAAAATTTTTCATTTTTGAAGCTGTGAAAAAATTCATTATCGAACGTATTGTTCGGAGATGGTGATCTATTATCCTGAGCATCGAATCGCATAGGCCAATACTGAATCAGTACATTTACTGAAATATAAGTAGCACTTGCTTAAAATCGTTCTTGAAAACACCGGATTCGCCTTGTATGCGATTTCGTCTCCATGTTCGATGGATATTTAGATTGGCAAGTTTAGTGCATGATTGTTGGTAACAAACGCCATATTTTTCATTATAATGAGGGTTTTACTCAGTTGAGAATTTGTATTGCCATCTCAAGTTCTTGGACACGAAAGTTAGTGCTGTACGGTATTCTGATTTCTTTCGCAAGTTTTTGATTAGATTAAGTCGGTGACTGAAGGGGAAAAAAAGAAATTGATTCTTGATTATGAAAGCACTTTTTTTTAAACGAAAAAGGCGTATTCAATTTTTTGGATAAATTGCTCTCAAGAAATCAATTTTGTCCATGTTTGATGGTGTCATTGACAGTATTTAAATGAAGAAGCTCTCCTCCGAAATTTATTGGGATTGCGAAGAGTTGATAACCCTCGTGGATATACTGTATTTTGTTTCAATTTTTAAATTGTGTGAGATTGAGACGATTGCATTGAAAACTACGCTTTACTTCAATTACGTGTTAAGTCGAAGTCTTCTTCAAAACCGGGAACGAGTGAAGTACAGTACTGTATTTTCCATGCCTCAAATTCGAATTTTTTTTTTCGCGGATTTGCCCGAACTTTTTGATCATGCAACTTCTGGCGTCCCATTAATCACTTGCTACGTGTAACCCAATGGTGTTTCCGGGCTCTAGTTTTCTCTTTCCTGAAGGCCGTTAGTGAATCGTGTCCGTGAAAAGGGTTTGATTTAAAAGGGCACCTTGTGGATCCCACGCTTCGCTTAATCGTCGTTATTCCCCAGCGGGAATGAGATTTTGTCATGTCGTTCTCTCCTTGGCCACTCTTGAGCGGGCTACTCGCTGTGAAACAGCGAGACAAATGAAGTTCACCAAAGTTAAACGATCGTGGGATTTTTCTTCACGTTCGTACCTCCAAAATATTGTTTTTTTCCGTTGATAGGTTATAATTTCAAGATCTTTGGAAAGCTTTGAAAAACTTCTGCCCACTCTTTGTCACTTGTCGAAGGGTTCTTGAAGATTTTTTTCCCCTCCAATTGTGGAATGCCATAATATGCCGTCGATACGTGTTTGGTACTGTGCAAGTTTTTAAATTCTATTTGTTTATTTCTTTTTGGTGGCTGTGAAAGGAAAATAAGCTGGATGGCGTATTTTTAAACCGCAATGCCAATTAAAATCGTAATTTCTGGCGCTGATGCATTTACCGGAAAACGCATACAGTATGAAGGATGTTTGAAAATGAAGATGTAATTTATTGAAAGCGGATAGAGAGCTTATTCTGTGCGTACCGAGCAAAATACTGTATTTCCAACATTCCCGCGAATGTAAAAAAAAATCAATACATTTTCGAGAAATGTAACTCGGAACTTTCTTCAGTAAATCATCTGCAGTCGACAGCTTACCTCGCTTATGAGGTTGTGCAGAATTTATTTTCTTTTTTTACTATCTTTCCGATGCTCGTGTTAGTAATCATTTCATGGATTCCTTGGTAATCATCTGGAAAAAATGAACTTTCTCGAATTTGAATAATATATGCGGCTTCACGTCGTCGAAACGACTCGCAATTTGGGAGTGGTTAGTAGCTAAATAAGCCCAATTGAGAATATAGGGAATAATCAATATTCTACTGCTTTTTCCTCTTGACTGAAAATTAAATTTTAAAAATTGCGCAATTTCTGTGGTAAAACAAAAGATGAATCCGGTTGTCTGCTCAATGCCGTAATCGCCTTGAAAATCATCATGAACCAACCCCCGCGATTTTCGTAGTGACGGCAGCTGGCATTG